ACTGGCCTCTGCTCTTTTCTGTGCAGCATGTTAGCAGGACAATATATTTGACTGTATTCTAATGCATGTGTGCTTGCTTCCTTCACATCACAGTTCTAGTTCTGTTTGTGAAATAAATCATTTGAAAAAGCTTTATCCTCTTCTAGCCAGATAAACTGAAATAGAGGGAGGTGACTGCTGATATTTAATACTAACTAATATTTTCTTATCAGTGATGGATTATGCTATAAAATGCACAGCTTCATTCATAGTCAGGGTCAATTTTCCTTTATTTCATTTAATAAGAATGTGTTTGCATTAATTGGAAAACATGGGGCTCCCTCTTGTGACAAAATCAATGATTTTAAAAAATTTTTGATGCCAAATAGAATCATCTATCTATGCTCCTTTAGTAGTTTTAAAATAATATTACATATAAAATTATCTAATCATTTAATGTTACTATTTTCTCTGATAACTAATTCTTCCATTTAAAAAAAATACCAATATTTGATTTTAATTTGTGCTTAAAGATGTATATGATCTCACTTATATGTGGACATTAATGAACAAAATAGGTCCAAAGACATGGAAGCATGACGAATCTCAGAGGGAAGGGGGACAATAAAAAATACCAAACCCAAAGAACGTATATGCATAACCCATGGACACAAACAGTAATGGGGTAAAGGTCTGGGGGGAGGGCAGGTGTGGGGTGGAGGGGGTCAATGGGGAAAAAGGGGGACATATGTAACATTTTCAACAATAAAGATAAATCCAGGTGCAAATGACAAACTGGGAGATAAAAGTACAGCATGTACAACAAAGAAAGGCTTCCCTAACTTACAGTCTCACAAAATTGGTAAGGGAACAGTCCAGCAGACACATGACAAAGCACATGAACTCACACAAAAGACATACAAAGGGGCAGTGTACCTGGAGCTGACATCTCCACCACCTTTTCTGTCACCTGTCCGTCACTGACTTTATCACCAACAGTAAGAACAGTGTCTCACCTAATAGATGCTCAATAAACATTTGTGGAATTGATAAATAACAATGTGCTTAACCTCACTATCATTAAAGAAATGTAAATTAAATGAAAATTTATATTGCATGATTTTATCAGATTGGCAAAAACTTAAAAGACTGTCACAAAGGTTGGGAATATGAGCACCCTTAAAAACAATAAAAGGAATAAAACTGGAAAACTGGAGACCTGCTTCGTTTGGGTTCTTCAAGGTGGCTGGCAATCTTTGTTACTGAACAGACCCTATTCACATAAAAAAGGGGGTCTTGGATACACTGTTAAGTAAAAAACAAATTGCAAATCTGTTTGTAGTATATTATGCCATTTTTTATAAGGCTGCAATATATGTAAAAAAAAGGGGGGGGAGAAATATACACCAAAATGGGAGGCAAGTATAGCATACTTTGCTCTTTCTCTACTACATACTTCTGAAAATTAAATGGTTTATGATAAATATGTAATAGTTTTATAATAAAATATAAACTTTTTTCTTAATTTTCACATTCTACATCTTTCTGGTTGACTACAGAATGTAAATAAAATTGCAACTTTGCAATAAGTAATTAGAAGCATTAAGTAAGGAATTGTAAATTGTCTCTATTAACTTTAGGACAGTAGGAGTCCTAATGAACTGCCCTTGGCTGCCAGGGCCTGAGGATACACCACCACCACCACCACCACACCGGTACACTGGGGAAGGGATGCCCCTGCATGCTTGGGGCAAGTTCAGAGCAAAGTGCCATTACCAGGCAGCAAGGGGTCCTCAATGCACAGCATCGAAGGTCTATACCCGCTGGTCATGGCTTTCATGATCTCTTCTTTGGCAATATAGGCACCTCCTTCTTTTATTCTAATACCAGTTTTCAAGTAATTAAAATTTCTTCCATAGAGTTCAAAAAATTCTACAAGAAGCATTCCAAGGTTTTCATCAGCTCTCCGGGCATCAATTCTTGGATGCAACTGTAAAAGCAATGGATTCAAGTCATTTCTAAAGAAGATTGCATGTAATGAAATCTGCTACCCAGTGATCTCTTCTAGGACCGCCCTCAGCAGCACCCACTCACCCACAGGCATTGGGACGCTCAGAGCAGTTGCCAAAGTCAGTAACAGAGCCTAGTCAATAAAGAGAATTCAAAAGAAATAAAACCTTCTAGCTGAACGTTTTTATTATACTTCAATTCTTTGAAACTGGTAATCTATACAGCAACTTCCTACAAACACAGACATCTGATTAACCACAAGTCCCTAATCACTGATGAGTGGGCCATATTCTGCACAATTTAGGGTCATCTAAATCAGCAATGTTCAACTGGTGTGCCACAGAATTTTTAAAACATGCAATACCTAACTATTCAATCAGGGGCATTGATCTCTTCTCCTTTAGATCAGGGGTAGGGAACCTTTTTTCTGCCAAGGGCCATTTGGATATTTATAACAGCACTTGTAGGCCATACAAAATTATCAACCTAAAAATTAGTCTGCTGTATTTGGTCAAACATTTAATTAACTCACCCCTAATTCCTTGCCAGGGCCACATCAAATGATTTCTCAGGCCTTCTATAGCCTACAGGCTGATGTTCCCTACCCCTGCCTTAGATTGTCAAATGAAAAAAAAAAAAATTACAACAGCCAACACAACAATAGTCATCCTATGTGAATGAATCAAAATTATACCTATCTTTTTTTGTCAGATTGGCAAAAAATATAACATTTTTGGTGTGTTGCAGAACTTAGTAACTAGTTTATGTGTACCATGAGATGAAAAAAGTTGAAAATTGCCAGTCTAGATGGTGGAAGTGATTTTACAGATTCCAATCTTAATTTCTTTGTTCCAAAATACAACCAAAAGGGGGCAGCATTAGATTAAACAGTATCACAGAAAACCAGAATGCGAAAGGATTAACATTAACTGTGTATAGTAATTTAGTATTCTATCATAATATTTATAGCAAACTTGTCATAGAGATTAGCATCAGCCTCAGTTTGGCGCCACAATTTCTTTAAGTGGGTAATGGACTTTTTTTTAACCTAAGTCACTGTCTACTAACACCTTCCTGAGTAACTGATTTAAGAGACCCGAATCTGAGCAATGCAGGCCTGTGCTGCCCATAAGAAAAGCCACGAGCCACATATGGCTATTTATATTTAAACTAGAGGCCCGGTGCACAATTCATGCACCTGGTGGGACCCCTCCAAGGGATCCTAGTTGTGACAGGGGGGGGGGGGGGGGGAGGTGTTCCTCAGCTTGGCCTGTGCCTTTTTTCACATTCCAGGAGCCCTCAGGGGATACCCAACTGCCAGCTTAGGCTGCTTAGGGGGAGCGGTCTAAGCTAGCAGTCGGACATTAGTGCTGCTCTTTAGGCAGGAGAGGCTCCCACCACCACTGCTGCGCTCGCCAGCCGTGAACCCAGCTTCTGGCTAAGCAGCGCTCCCCGATGGGAGCACACTGACCACCACGGGGCAGCTCCTGCGTTGAGCGTCTGCCCCCTGGTGTCAGTGCACGTCATAGCAACCAGTCATTCCACTGTACAGTAGATTTGCACATTACCCTTTTATTATGCAGGATAAATTAAGACCAATTAATTAAAAATTCCATTTGTCGGTCTTGCTAGCAACATGGCCAATGCTCAGTAGGCATCTGGCCCGTTGGCCCATGCTGGACTGCAAGGGCAGAGAGAACACTGCCAACTGCATAGAGTTATACTGGATAGCACACAAAAATAAAAATCCTGATAGAAGCACAATTTACAACACAGACCTCCATGAGGAATCCTAAAAGTATTTTTAGGGTTCATAACTTTGACTTCTGAGGATTTGCATATTCCCAAGGCACAAGTGTAGCATTCTTATTTTTCCTTACCTTACTCTCCTTCTTATTCCTTGCCTTCTAGTCAAAATAAAATACCTGAGGATTACCCAGGGCAAGCCTGGGTTTTCTTATCTCAATTAGCCATGAAATGAACTCAGGTGCTACAATTCAGTTTTGAGGCAGGAGGGGCAAGACACTAAAGCAGCGGTTCTCAACCTGTGGGTCGAATGACCCTTTCACAGGGGTCACCTAGGACCATCGGAAAACACATATATAATTACATATTGTTTTTGTGATTAATCACTATGCTTTAATTATGTTCAATTAGTAACAATGAAAATACATCCTGCATATCAGATATTTACATTACAATTCATAACAGTAGTAAAATTACAGTTACGAAGTAGCAATGAAAATAATTTTATGGTTGGGGTCACCACAACATGAGTAACTGTATTAAAGGGCCGCGGCATTAGGAAGGTTGAGAACCACTGCACTAAAGAATGTGGAGATGACAAAGACAATCCCACCCATGCTAGGCAAAGCTCCTAGGTCACAGGAGAGCTGCAAGGATCCCATGGGGTAATTAAACAAAAGGCACTTGGCCAAGGGCAATAAAAGTAAGGAGTTGTCATTATTACATGGCTACTAAAATAGTTCACATCAGGAATACAGACAGTCCTGGGGTTACATCAGACTCGACATATGTCATTTCATGGTTACATTGCCATCTCCCATGTATTTATAAAAAAAAAAAAAAAAAAAAAAGTTCCGTCATTTTGACGTATGTACATATGTGCTTTGTTTTTTATTATTTATTTACCACAAGTAAAAGTCAGGAATTGTTATCTTTCTTTTAAATTTTTTTTACTGTTTCACTTCATTACTGCTGTGTATGTGCTCCATGTGAGTGACGTAGGTGGTTATGTAGGTGGGTTCAGACTTACTGCAAAAATCACATTACGTCACACCATAGGAACGGGTCTCCGACGTAACCCGAGGACATACTGTATATGACAAAGTAAGCTAAGAAGAGATGGTTGTGTTACTTCAAAATTATGTTCGAAAATTAGGGAAGAGTGGCTATAAGGGCAGCATTGTGGAGGCGAGAGTGAAAGACATGTCAATGGGATTAAAACTGTAGAAAAATTCCATTTTCCCTCTTTGTATAGCATCTCTGCACAGACAGGCCAAAGAAGTCAAAGTAACTGAAGGCAGTGCAACCAGGAGTTGTACTGACTACTAGCAATTTTCCTGTTTTTATCATATACGGTATCAAACTTTTTTCTGAGATAGTTTTCACTATAAATCATAGTCAAGCACCAAGAAAAATGTTTTTATTGTATATCAAGGTCTGAAAGTTTTCTAAATGTATAGGTATTTCCTCGAGTTTAGACTGATATACACTTAACTGACAACCAGATAAGCCCTCCCTCCTCTAACAGTTAAATCAGCTACAAAATAAACTATAAAGAACAGTAGGAAAGAAGTATTCATCAAAATAGGGTTTTATTATGAAAATTAGAAGTCAATCTCTTCTAAACCAAAACAGAGTAATGGAGGGAGAGGAGGACAGCTGGGACCCACACAGCAACTGGTCAGAACACCCACCGTGGAAGAACCTAGTCCTACTGGGGAGAAAGCCCACTCACCTGTAGAAAGCTAATGGCCATTAAAATTAGGCTATATGAGCTAATTCCACCGGTAAAAACTTCATTCAGGTCCCTCTGCAGGAGGAACTGTTTCAATACTAAAATCAAGTAAGGCAGCAATGAATATTTCTGTAAATTCCAAAAGAGAAATATTTACTAGTTAGTTTATATACCTTGAAGACTTATTACATAGCAAATTTTACATGGTAGAAAAGAAAGCTTCCTCAATCCTCCTGCCCCTTGGAAAGCTCTAGGCCAGTGATGGCGAACCTTTTGAGCTTGGCATGTCAGCATTTTGAAAAACCCTAACTTAACTCTGGTGCCGTGTCACATTTAGAAATTTTTTGATATTTGCAACCATAGTAAAACAAAGTAAATATTTTTGATATTTATTTTATATATTTAAATGCCATTTAACAAAGAAAAATAAACCAAAAAAATGAGTTCGAGTGTCACCTCTGACACACATGTCAAAGGTTCGCCATCACTGCTCTAGGCTCATCCTCAAAGGGCTCATTAAGATACCATTGGGGAGCTCCTCCCCAGTTACAAGGTGGAAAAACTTGCACAAAGAAAAACTCAGGGAATAAATGAGTACATTCCTTCAAATACTTCCCAGGGCTTGCTGCCAGGCAGAGGGCTGTGCAGGTGAAGGGAAGGAAGGATGCGACAGTGATCAAGGGAAGGTCCTGGAACCAATGCAAGAACCTCCAACACTCAGAGGCACGCAGAGAAAAGCAGAGGAGGTTGGAGGGGGGAAAGCTTATGAGGCAGGGGACAACGACAGGATGAGTGTCCAGACCTCCCAAAGGGAGAGCAGGGTGAAGGTAACATGGAAATGCACAGGCGGGAGAAGGGGTGGGAGACAGAGGAAACTTCTGTTGTTTTCATGTCCGTGGGGTAGAAATGAGCTCTCAAACAACACATGATGTAAAGGAAAGGAGAAACAGAAGGAGAGCAAGGTCCCTGAAACTGTGGGAAGAAGCAGCACCCAGACTACAGGCAATTGAAACTACAGAGCTGTTTTTCAGTTGAGGATAAATAACGCAACTGTACAGGCTCTATTATTATGAACAATCAGTTTAAAGTTTTAACATTTGTAAGAGAAACAATACCCAACATAACATCTTAAGTCCCTGATTTTTATTGTGTTAACTTGCTAATGGCAGTACCTTCATATAATTCTTGATGAACTCTGCTGCCCGGACCCCAGTCTCCATGTTGAAGCTGATGTCAACTTTAACTTCAGTCTCCTGGTCTGTGAGTTTTATTATTGGTACCTGCAAAAGTTTAATTTGAAAAATTGTGCTTCAATATGCAACAATCTACACAGTCAGGCATCAAAATGTTTCCAAAGTTGTACAGAGAGGCTTTTAAAAAATTATTTACAAAATGGGCTTAGAGATCATAAATCCAAAATTTTAAAGATGCGAAGAAAAGGGACTTTTTGCCAGAGTTAACCTCTAGTCCTTAGAACCCAAGAACACCCCCCCCACCCCCCACCCCAGCAACACCTCTGCCCAGCCCTGCTGGCATGACTCAGCATCTTGCCAGTGATCAAGCATCCATCATGGCCACTATCTGCTTCTGCCAATGAGATGGGGCAAAGGGGAACAGGTGCTGAGGGAAGGAGAAAGAGGGGTGGAAGGCCCGGGCTCCACACACCTGCCTACCACATGGAAAGGCCAGCTAAGTCCCAGTTCAGCTCCACCACAAGTGCCTGATTATCGGCAGGAACTCCTGTCCCCAAATTATGTTTGCTAGAATTTCTGAAAACATTCAAGAGAACTTCAAAGCCATTTTTAGAATTATAATTTGTACTGATGTTGTTTCTCCAAACAATTCTACTGTGGGTTTCAATCTTTAAAACAAAATAAAAGAAAACAAAATCCCCCCTAAAAAATCTATTTATATAAAGAGGCAATATGAAAATTAAGCCGGGATGCCGTAATGGGTCATGACCAGACAGGAGGAGGTGGTGCGCTCAGGTGAGGCCCCGAGTAGAGACGGAGACAGACACAGGGGGGCCTGCCCCAGCAGGCCCGGCGGCTCCGCCGGCCCTGAGCAGACACAGGCAGGAGGGCAGGGGAGGCCTGGGGCTGGCCAAGCCGCCGTGACGGCTCAGGCAGCCCCAGAGTGGACACAGGCAGGGGGGCAAGGGGGCCTGGGGTGGAAGTCAGGCGCAGGTCCCGGCCACCCACAGCGTCAGTCAGGCCTGACTCCCATGGTGGCTGGCGCTGTGCGAGTCAGGCCTGGGTCCCAGCTGCCCATGGTGCGAGTCCGGCCTGACTTCCACGGCAGCCTGTGGGGTGCCTCCACATACAGCGGGAGGTGAGGCGCCTCCACACGCGATTTCAATCATGGGCTGGGCTTCTAGTCAGAGAATAAAAGGCCATTTTGAAAATACTCATCAATAGAAATTATCACCAAAGGCACTCAAAACTGGCCTCAAGACTGCCCAGTGTGGCTCTATGATTAAAGTTTAACCTATGAACCAGGAGGTCATGGTTCGATTCCTAGTCAGGACACATGCCTGGGTTGCAGGCTTGATCCCCAGTAGGTGTACAGGAGGCAGCCAATCAATGGTTCTCTCTCAGCATTGATGTTTCATCTCTCTCTCCCTCTCCCTTCCTCTCTGAAATCAATAAAAAGACATTTTTTAAAAAAACTGGCCTCATAAAAGATGCCCAAACAATCATTTAAATCATCCCCACCCCCAAAATTGTGTTTTTCCAGAAGGCAATGTTTTAGTCATTCAGCCTCTAAAAACTAAAAAGGTTGCATTCCCTTTACCAAAACAAATGGGATCTAACTAAAGGTTTAAAATGTCCAGAAGTCAATAGAGACACAGGGTTTTCAGTGCACAACCTGATCTAAAATGCTCCCCCCTAGGCCAACTGCCAAGGACACCCGGTGACAGTGGACCTCTGGCAGCAGAAGAAAAGGTGTGGCTGTTGAGCCCACCCTGGGCTAATTACCTAACCTCTCCGTGCCTCAGTTTCCTCACCTGTCAAATGTGAAAAATAATAGCTTCTGCCAATGAGAATGCCTTGGAGGATTAACTGAGATAATGCCTATAAGTGGTTTAAAAAATGGCCCAAACTTATCCATGGTGCTAGAAGGCAGGTGAGCAAATGGCTCCACTACATGAGCAAGATACAGCTTAATTTCTGACAATTTTCTTAAAACTAAAAGGACTTAGTCTGGCTTCATACAGGTTGAAACAATTTAAAAATGAAATGTTAGCCTGTAGTCTAGATGAGCTAATAACTATCACACAACAGGCAAGTAACTTACAATTCCTGCACTGTTTCTAATCTTGGACATAGAGAAACCTTGACACACATGCTTCAAAATCAGTCTCATCTTCCAACTCCTCCCAAGATAAGAGTTTTTCATAAATGTGTACTTTTAGAATGAAAAAGGTAAGTATTTCTTTCTGAAGTATAACTTGGCGAATAGTAATCTTTTTCTATGTAATAAAAGACATGGTTTAATCATTCAGTTACATACTCCAGAAAGGACAGCAACTGAACACGTCTCGTTTCAGGTACTAACATCCTTTCTTCACACACTCTAAGACAGCGGTTCTCAACCTGTGGGTCGAGACCCCTTTGGGGGTCAAACGACCCTTTCACAGGGGTCGCCTAAGACCATCGGAAAACACATATATAATTACATATTGTTTTTGTGATTAATCACTATGCTTTACTTGTGTTCAAATTGTAACAATGAAATTGGGGGTCACAACATGAGGAACTGTATTAAAAGGTCGCAGCATTAGGAAGGTTGAGAACCACTGCCCTAAGAGAAGTCGACAGTCATGTATCTTAGTGCCGGGAACAGTCGGATGCTCTCACAACTTGTGATTCGGACTGTCACTGAACCGGTTCTCAGCTGGTGACAACAACTAGAAAGCACATTTACACCAAAAGTAGAGAAGTCTTCAGAAACATAACCAATAGCTGCTGCAAACAACCCGTTAATCACCCCGGCATCGGAGCAGCCTTACTTACTGTAGCTTTGTCCAGAACTTTGATGGAGCCTGGCTCAGCCACGTTGTGCTTCCTCAGGGCCTGCTCCAAGAGTTGGAGAGGAGGACGCTCCCATTTTCCAAAGACCACTAAGTCGATGTCACTGGACAAAAGGAAAGTGGCCATAAACTGCTGCTCGCCTCACCATGCGGTAACACAGACATCTGGGATGAGCTGGTGCCACAGCCTGCACTCCCATCTCCCTCAAGGTAACCCTATTACCAATATCCCTTTCAGGGAGAGAAAATGTAGCTTATGAAGTAATATTTATAACATAAAGACTGAAAACAAAAAGGCTGACAGAATCTCCCAACATCACGAGGTAATAAGGGACTGAAATAAAGTGTCTGCCCCTCTGAGGTTTCTGGGCCCTCACTCTGTGCTATATATGCTGGGTCACTCATGCTGACCCGGGACTCCTGGACTCCTTGAAGCTATTCAATTCCCCATTAGCCCTGCCAATGCCCACTCCAAACCCTGAGATTACAGCCTCTTTAGTCTCAAAATACTAACAGGGGGTTAATAAAAAAATAGACTTTAAATGAAACAATGTACATAAATTGATTTGGATATTAAAATTGTCCTTGATAGGTGCCGGGGTTCTTGTTCCAGCATCTAGAAGGGGTGTGCGTAACTTAATAAAGAGTCCAGAGATGAAGCATAATTTTGAAAGGCATTATAGGGAGTCAGAGGAGCCTAGCTAAAGAAACTAAGATGATCTTGTCTCAGGACCCCTTGCTTTTTATTAACACAAATTGTCCTAAGGCAATGTGGAGATATACATATCAAAGGGTCAGGTTTCGTATGCAGAGTCCATTGTCAGATTATCAGGTTTTGGAGAAACTGCCTACGGCTGTCCAGGTGTTTGGCCAGTAGGAGGCAATAACATGTAGACTGAGATGCCCTTAGCTGTCTGGCAGCAAGCAATCATTTTTTGCATCCTTTTCAGGTTTGGGGAAATGCCCTTCAGCCACTCCAGATTCAGCCCTGCTGTCATGCGGGAATTGGCTTCCAGGAGATAGGGAAACACTGAAGAATGACTTTAGCATGTAAATTTGTTTGACAATTTTCTGTCAAATATACAGCTTAATGAGTATTATTTAATTAAAATTTTGCTTGAATCTTCATGAAAACATAAGATCAATTTTTCAAAACATATCCAAAAATATAAGCGGAATGTTTTCTATTGCATTTTCTTCCCCTGGTCCTCTTACTCATCTTCTTAATGTTTCTAGTGTCCAGCACTTTCATACCCCATCAAATGAAACACAAGAAAAAAATACAAAGCAATCAATTACCATAATAGTAAATTAAATTTTATTTCCTATGTCCCCTCTGTGCTCTCTAGTCTTTTCCTTTAGCTCATACTTCTAGCCTTAGACTTGAAGAAACCTACTATGAGCCCTGAAAACAGACAGAGACACCGCCATTCCCCTGCTCCCAGTAAACATAAACACTAATCCGGCACTCACCTCGTTGGAAGATAGAGACCAGTACTAAAGCTGCCAAATATCTGGACCTGAAAGAAAGAATAATTGTCTTAGAACTGGTGATAATTCAGTCATCCTTTGATTACTTCTCACTGAAAGAAAGGCCTCACTCCTACTTCGGGGTAAAATTTAAATTGCCCTGCACGTTGGGAGGATCCAAAAACAATCCAATGAAATCTAGTTATCTTTTAAGTTAAAGACCTTCCCCAAAAAGGAATTTTTAAAAACTCAAAATTAAGCGACAAAATAATTATTGGCCTTGCCACACCTGCCAAAGCCAAGGACTTTTTAGAGCCTGGTTCAAACTCTCCAAAAACTTTCAAACCCATAGCTGGGACACAGAGGCAGGGCACTATGCCAGGGCACTAAAGTTAAAGCCAAAGATATTGTAATAAGTCACTTTAAAAGTGGAGGGGAATCAAGCTGCTGCCTGGCTCACTGGGAGCTCACATGCTCTTCAGCTGCCAGCTCATCTCCATCACTGTGGGCCACCAGTCATAGTCCCTGGTCACTGGTAGGAGAGGCTGACTGATTAGGACAGGAGCCTGTGGGCGGACCATCATAAGTTGGTCAGATGACATGTTCATGCTGCCTGCGCTAAGCACTACAAATGTCAGTGGCCCTCAACTCAATGGACTCTAGTTCATTTACTGTAAAAGTGGTAAGTGAGGAAGCACTTTCAATTTTCACAAAAATGAACTTAGGCTATGATGAGTGGTGGGGAAGGGGTAAAATTTCTAACCTTAAGGTGAACTTAAAAGAAAAATAATCACACCATTCCAAAAAACCTTCTGTTGGGCCAGTGGTCCTCACACTTATATATGTCAGGACCACCAGGAAGGCATGTTAAACACAGACTCCTGCCCCTCCTCCAAGGTGTCTGACTCAGCAGGTGCATTTCTAACAAGCTCTCAGGTGACAGATATGCTGCTGCCTGGCCCAGGTCCACATCTGGAGAATCCCTGCCTTGGGCCAATAAGGGAGACATAGGTCTGCACAGACAGGACTAACACGTTACAATGTTGGGTGCTTACATTTACTTGTATGTGACAAAGAAGTACAAAGACTATACCCACATCAGCTGTTGGCCAAAGATCTTTAACCACAGTTTCGATCCGTTTCACCACCTCTCTTCTCATGGCTGCTTCTTCAGGACAAGGGGACATGAAGTTATAGAAGTCAATTATTTCCTCATGAAGTCTAGGAAACAAAAGAGAAAACATACTAGAGTTAATTAAACTTAACCACGTTACACTTTGGTATTAGATCTGCGTGATACTACAATATATTTCTGGCCACTTACAAACCAGTTTCTCTCCTCCTCTGAACACTCTGTGATGGACCAATTACACAGTATTGTATAGCACCACAGATTAACACGAGTGAATTTTGTCAATACCATATACCAAAACTTTTGACTGGCACTTTAAGACTTATTCAAAAGAAATTCATTTCAGTGATCTTACATTAAGGTACAGAGAATTCCATTTATGAAAGATAATTCCGGTTGATGTGTCACTATGTTTTTCTTTTAAAACACAGTCACCCCAGTTCTGATGTGCTCCGAGGTCCACTGGGCACCTTTGGTGCTCATACTATGCATGGATGGTCTAAGACAGGCCAAAGTGAGACAGGGACATAAGAGACAAAGACACGTGTGCTTCGGAGGCCTGAGGGTTGTCTCAGCAGTCAGGCTCTGCCCTCCCACTGTTACAACATGCTGGATCCAGTGTCCAGTGCCTCCCAACCTGTTACAGAAACATTGTCCCTGGAGGCAGAACAGCCCTATTTATCTCAACACTCCTTATATGTCCTCTCCTTATGACTCAGAAGCAAGGAGGTCACAACCAAATACATGTGGGCAGAAGTATGGCCGGCCCTTTCTTTCCTAACAAAGGTCTTCAGGAGAGAGGAGTCCCCAAAGTCACTTCATATCTCACCTCTGCCTCAAAAGACACTTCTGTCACCACTGTCAGCCATGGGCAAAAAGCCAGCCCTGTGGGGGTGGCACAGTGGAGTTAAGTTTTAGGGCCAAAGACCTTTTCTGTAAACAAGTCCTTCTGGAGGAAGAAAAGATGGTCATTCTCCATTTCCTTTAGATTAAAGATGGGGGTTGGAGTGGGAGATGGGAGATGGTCCAATCCTAGAAGTTATAACAAATCAGATTCACCTGCTTCCATTCCAAGTTTGTTTAGAAAAACAAATAAAAGACAAAACAAAATTATCTCAATAATAATATAACAGTAAAGTCAGCTGAACAGCTTACAAAATAGTCCACATAACAGCAGGCAATACTTCTCAACAGGACCTTTAACATCAAGTTATGAAGGTAAGGAGCACCATATTACCTTACATGTTATCTTACATAGGCTCTTGCTTAAAGTCGACTTCATCCTTCTTACCTGAAGAACTGCCTCTCTACTCCCAAAATTCATTTGGAGTGGCCATTCCTGACACTCGGCAGCAAGTCTGAAGACTACTCAAGGCCCTAAAAGCAGGGGAAATAAATCCTCCAGTAGGAAATAAATCCTCAACACCCTTGTTAGGCCATCAATCTCAGTCCATCACTGGAATCCAATTTTGTTCACCATGTTTAATTTTTTTTTTTAATCAAAAAAAGCAAACCTCACCCAAGCATGCTGCCAGTTCAGCCAGCCAGGATCAGTCTTTTAATAAAAACAAAAAGGTAGAGTTATGTAACACTAAAATGCACTACGTTTTCTAAAATATTGTAGTCCAAGGTAGTGAGGGTAAAGCTTCTATTATTTTAACAGTTACTGAGCACCAATCACATCTCTTCTAGCAGCTCAACAGACACATTAAAGTCTGAAGTGTGACCTAAAACTTCTTACCACTGGGCAATGTTGTTAGCATGACTAGATGTGTCTGGTTAGCAGGCTAGTACCCATACCAGCTAAGAGATTG